AGCAAATCAAGCAAAACCACATGTTTATTCTTTGCCCTTTCCACCTATGAGTTCCTCAGAGTTCTTCTATAGGAAAGGGTTGTTTCGGTAGTGCTGAAGGATTTGACTGATCATTGTAGCAGCATCACTAAAGATAGTGCCAGCTTGTATTGAAAAGAAAATGGCCCAGAAACATCCACTGGCACAACTGCTCCCGCTCATTTTTTCTCATGAGCAGGAAGAAGTCTGCCAGCACTGCTGTTAGCAATAATACTGATAGTGTGTACATACTGAGGATGCGACCCATTCTTGATGCTGCCTGTGCTTACCTCCTGAGGTCTTACTTAACTAACTTACTGCTACAGCTCTTGAAGCGCACCATTGGCCAGCTAGACGGTGTAATCAGCGTTTTGTTGATTACTAATGACAACTACCAAACAGATTAAACATTTACTTTTGCATTATTCTCTCATGTATAGCGTAAGGAACATAGGCGCCTGACTCTGGCATATGGATTCCACTCCATAGGCTGAAAATTGGACACCATCAAGTGCCCAAGTCTTGCTGGATCTAGATACAAGATGCGAAGTAGAGAATAAAACACAGCAAGATATAAAGTGAGATAACTTGCTATTTAGAATATCTTCCCGTTTAAACATCCTAGCAAACTGCCGATGTAGTTGCCAGACACAGATGCAGCAAGATACGTTGTAAAGTCCGGGTGAGATTATAAAGACAATAGTTCTATAGGCAAATGAGGCTCTGCTACTGAGATGAACTTGGTTGTAGATAAATACATGAGATATAATGGAACTACTGAACAAATAAAGTAAACCTGAAGTGAATGCCAAGTTTGCTATTAATATGACTATAAATAATGAATCTGAATCCAAACATAAAAAACAATTGCTAGGATGGAATGTCAAAACAGATACAATAAAAAAAGGAATTACCCCCTTTGGCATATTGTTTTCCACATTGTTATCTAATGCATCAAGTTCTATCATCACTCGGCAGAATGGACCAGTCTAAACCGGAAGGGGAAGAGCTCAACAAACATACTTCCAATTCCGAAGATCCCGGAAGTATTCCCCCATTTTAAATGTCATCATCAGACAGCACACAGTGAGTCATTCTTAATGGCACCTGAATCAAAACACCTGTTAGTGAGTACATATGGAATGTGAAGATGCTTGTAAAGAACAAGATCATAATTAAAGATGGATTAATTCTAACAGAAATAAGAGAAATAGAACAGATGGTTTACATATTTGTGGGCAGTTATGTTTTTGTGTAATGGTAGTGGAGATGAAGATTTGTAAACAGAATGACTGTATAAAGAAGGTTGGAAGGGACCTTTGGAGTCTTTTCCTGACCTCTAGGCCAACGCCCCTTCTCAAAGCAGGAGTAGCTACAAAGTTAGATCATGTTGGTGAAGGCAAATAATGCCAACATTTGGTTGCTGAAAAGTTACCTGAAATAAAATGTGAAGTAGTATTTCCCTGTATATTTTGCCATAACTGGGATAACTGATATTCATTGCTTTGATCACATGGAACGAATTTAATGCTGCTTTCATAGAACTGGTATTTTGTGGCACCTACACATACACAAAGTAAGGATCGTTCATATGTATAACAAAGAACCCTGGCAGGTGGACAAAAAGTTCCTTTTATTCAGGCCTGGCCCCTCTTTGTATAAAATCCTGACTCCATTAAATCAATGGCAAAACACACAAAGATATGTGAAACTTAGCTTATTCCAATGTTGCTTTATCAGGAACTGATCAGCAATCCCTAGTGATGTTTTCCCTTCATTTCCGTAACAGTTTTCAACAGAAAGCAAA